TCTATGCTTAATAGAAATCTGAGATTCTTGAGCCTGGGGACCATCACTTCTGGGACATTGTCTTTAAGTCATCCTGACATGTTTGAAAAGAATACAGTGAGAACTGACTTCCTGAGGGTCCATACTCCTCCCTTAGCTCCTCCTTCCTCTCTCCAGGTGCTGCCAGACTCAGGACCAGGGCTACACTCAGGTGATGCATGTGAAAAGCTATAAATTTCTGCTAGACAACCCCTACACCAGCTCCTACAATATTCATGCTCTGGGAATGATGTCACCTGCAGGGGTCGGTTTACCCTCCAGGAACACTGACTCTGCTTGGCCCTCGGTGAGGCTAAAAGGGACAGGGAAGTAACAAGAACAGTCACCATTTTGTGGTCATTTCTTGGTCTCATTTGACACCATAACAGCCTTATCAGGTACATACCAAAGTACAGACAAGGACATTGATGAGGAAGATGTGAATGGCCAGGCCAGTTGTGCAAGGTCAGCCAGCTTAGAAGTGGTGGTGTTTGGTTCTGGAACACAGGTCTGCATCATTCCAAAGCATCTTTTTAAAAACATTTAAAGATTTTATGTATATCTAGGGGAGGCATGCCTGTGCCACAACACAGGTGTGGAGGTCTGAGGAAAACATGCCTTCAACCATGTCAGTCCTGGGGATGGAACTCAAGTTCAGACTGGGCAGCGAGTGCCTTTATTTGATGTGGGATGTCTGTCTGTATAAGTGTTGCTTTCATTGGTTGATGAACAAAGGTGTTTCAGCCAATGGCTTAGCAGAGCAAAGACTGGTGGGAAATCAGAACGGAGATATAGGGAGAGAATAGGTGGAGTCAGGGAGACACCATGTAGCTGCCCAATGAGAAGGGCACACCAGAATCTTAGGAACTCTACTGGTAGGCTACAACCTCATGGCAATACAAAAATTGATAGAAATGGGGCTGGAGAGATGGCTCAGCGGTTAAGAGCATTGCCTGCTCTTCCAGAGGTCCTGAGTTCAATTCCCAACAACTACATGGTGGCTCACAACCATCTGAAATGAGATCTGATGCCCTCTTCTGGCCTGCAGGGAGACACGCAGACAGAATATGGTATAAATAATTAATAAATAAATAAATGTTTTTAAAAAATTGATAGAAATGGGTTAAGATATAAGAGTTAGCTAGGCATATATCTCTGCTGTTGGCCAAACAGCGTTGTAATTAATATAGTTTCTGTCTGATTATTCAGATCTGAGCTGTCTCTCTTTACCTTTATTCCCTGAGCCATCTTGCCTGCCCAGAGCTTCTCCTATTAACCACTGTGTGTTATACTGATTCCATACTTAATGATACTGAAAGATGCATCATTGGCTATAAGACAAACACTGGACCAAATGCCTATGCAGGACAAGATTTTTCATTCCCATTTACAGGTGAGGTTCAGAGGGCTGGGAATGTAGCTCAGCTGCTGGAGTGCTTGCCTAGCATGCACAGAGCCCTGGGTTCCACCTCCAGGCCTCATAAATTGAGAGGTCTGGTGCACGACTGAAATCCCAACACTAGGGAGATGAGGCAGGAGAATTGTCTTAAATCACATAATTTTAGAAGTGGTACTTGATATTTGTAGTTTTCTTGGTTTTAGGATTAAATACACCCATTTGTTTATTTTTATATTTAGGAATGAGTGTCTTCTTCAGTCACTCTCTGCCATGTTTTTAAAGGCTGGGTCTCTCACTAAACTGAACACTTGTACCTTTATCTACCTTGACTGACCAACAGGTTTTGGGGATCCATACTCCCCACTTCCCAAAAGAGTTAGAGATGCTCCAAACACACCTTGAGTTTTACAGGGACTTTGGACATCCTAGGTCAGGCCCTCGTGTTATATGGCAACTGCTTTACAAACTGTGCCATCTCCCCAGTCCCATAATAAATGATTCTTTTTACTATAAAGGTGTTCTGGTAGAGGAGGTTCTTCTGTATATGTGTTGCTTTTATTGGTTAATGAATAAAGAACTGCTTTGGACCTAAAGCAGAACTATAGGGGAACAGAGCCAGGTGGGGAAAACTAAACAGAATGCTGGGAGAAAGAAGGGCAGAGTCAGAGAAAAGCCATGGACCCAGAGTCAGACATGCCAAAACGTTGCCGGTAAGTCACAGCCACATGGCAATACACAGATTTATAAAAATGGGTTAAATTAATATGTAAGAGTTAGCCAATAAAAAGCTAGAGCTAATAGGCCAAGCAATGATTTAATTAATACAGTTTCTGTGTGATTATTTCAGGTCTAAGCTAGCCAGGTGGCTGGGAACCAACAAACAGCCTCCCACTATGGTGTTCCAGCACTTTAGACAACACAGTGTCCTTTTGTGTTGTCTCTCAACCCTGACTCTGCACCAATAGGAGGGCCACAGGAGACTTTTGGTTACAAAATCATAAGGAGCAGGGTCAGGGTCACGGGCTCCACTCAACTCCCTTTCTTGTTTCTCTTCAGAAAAAAACAATGCCTGTGAGGACTTACTTTATCTGCAACAGTTACCACCAGGCCACCATCTGCTTCTCCAAGGCTCCCTACATCAAGAAGTACAGAGGCCATCAATGTTAGACTTGTCACCTCAGTTACCGTCTACACCATCCCTGCCTGCCTGGTCATGTTCACTAATAGAGCACGTACTTTTATTTTGGGTTTTTTTTTTTTTTTTGGTTTTTCAAGACAGGGTTTCTCTATAGCTTTGTAGCCTGTCCTGGAACCTGCTCTGTATATCAGGCTGGCCTCAAACTCAGAGATCTGTGTGCCTCTGCCTCCCAAATGCTAAAATTAAAGGTGTCGGTTACCAAAGCCTGACATAAAGCACCTATTGAAAGAACTTGGCTATGGCTGGGAGGTGGTGGCTCATGCCTTTAACCCCAGCACTCAGGAGGCAGAGGCAGGAAGATCTGTGTGAGTTCAAGGCCAGCCTGATCTACAAGAACTAATTCCAGGACAGGCTCCAAACCTACAAAGAAACCTTATCTCTTGACGAAGAAAAGAGAGAGAAAGAGAGAGGGGGGGAAGAAAAGAAAAACAGAAAGACTGATGACTGTATTCTCTGTCTACCACACTCTTCAGAGAACACCGTTCCCTCTAGACCTAGAAGCTGATGATTAATGGGAAAGACATTGCCATTAATGGAGAACCTTGAAGAATAAGTGGTAAACCCAGTCACACTTTTCATTCCAGAACTCTGGGATACAGAGGAAGAGGAAGGCAGATCTCTTCAGAACAAGACCAAACTGGGCTAAAGAGTGAATTCTAGGACAGCCAGGAGTACTACACAAAGGAACCTTATCTGGAAAAACAAAGTAAGAAGAAACCAGCATGAAATACACACTGGGGAGCAGGGAAAGAATGGGGAAGGGGAGTGGAGAGATGAGGCAAGGAAGGAGGGTAGGGGTATGGAGGGAAGGAAAGTAAAGACAGAGAGGTGGGAGGGAGAAGAAGAGAGGAAGAATCAGTGTCACATGGGCACTAAAGGAACATTCTGGTGCTCATTCTGGGACGTGGGACAGGTGAAACCTAAGTGGACTGACAGTAAATGACCTGAAGGCAGGACGACATCCTGGTGGGTTTCCAGTCTTCACTGTGCCAAAACACAGGTCACGGGATAATTGTCCCGCTAAAGTACACAGTGACCTAACTTTTTGCAACAAACAAAAAGAACACGTTGTCCTCTCTACCTTTCTCTACCACAGGACCCCACAGGTGAAGCCAGGTTAATCTCTGGTTCCTTGGTCAAGCAGATTTAGGAAGAAATTTCTCATTGCCTGGTTAAAGGCTACAAGGTTCTCAGTCTCTCTTTTCCTTTAGTGACCAGTTGCCCAGCCATCTGCCCTTCCACCCCAGTCCCATCCCTACTCCTGTTCCAAAGCTAAGACCTCGGCCCCCAAAGTCAGGCCTGGTGAGCAACAGGTCCAGCTAGAGGTGCTCTGAGAAGGTGCAGAGTCTGGTAATATGTGGTAGTGGCTTCCATAGTCCTGCTGGTAAGGTAGAAGCTTGAGTGTGAAGACAACCAACTCACCTTAGCCCTTCATGATTTCGATCCATGGAAGTGGGGAACAGTGTGGGAAAGGATGTGCAAGGCTCCTACATAAGACATGGCCAAACCCAAGAGCCAGCAGACATTGTTCAACAGCCACCATGTGGTTGTTGAGACTTGAACTCCAGTCCTCAGCAAGAGCAGAAGCGCTCTTGAGTGCTGAGCCATCTCACAAGTCCCTGTAGCTTCACACACTGGGTAGGGAGAGCCTCAGCTGAAGGATGTCCTGCATCATATTGACCTGGGGGTTCATCTCTTCTGCATTTGCTTTCTTTCTGTTTTAATTATTTACTTTGGTTTTTGGTTTTTAGAGAGAGGGTTTCCTTGTGTATCTCTGGCTGAACTGAAATTCACTATAGAGTGAATTCCAGGCTTTCATATAACTCAAATATTTGCCTGCCTCTGCCTCCTGAGTGCTGATATTTTAAAGGTATGCACCACCATCACCATCTGGCAACTTTCCTAGTTTTAAATGGAGTTTGTGGGTTACTACAATAGCTGAACACCAGGAGGTGTCAGCCTGGTGTTCTGACTTTGATTTTAGGAACCCATGTAAAGGTAGAAAGAGAAACCTGACATCACAGAGTTGTCCTCTACCCTTCACATGTGTGTGCGCACATGTGCACAAACACACAAAAATTAGTTAATAATTTAGTTAGTGAATTAAAGGTCAAGTTTGTAACTGGATCAACCTCAAAGACTGTGTAGGCTGTTGGAACAGACTTATCACTTAGTTTATCCAGTTAACATGGAGGATTGTTGGGTCCAGCTACTCCTGCTGGGACCACACGTCACTGTCAGCATTCCTCAGACCCAACCCCAGGAGCAATGTCTATACCTTCCTATGACCTCAAAGCTTCCACAGGAGAGGGACTGGGCACGTTGCCAGTCACTGCACTGACGTTGGTGTGGGGGGTTGAGCCAGCCCTTTATCTGTGTCTCTGCAACAGCACTGATTCAGGCTCTGCCACCATCTACAGCAGCTCTGCCGGTCAGGACTGTCTGTGAGGGTGGACATAGTCTACTTCTGTGCTACACACACAGTAGTCACAGGCCCCGCCTGCTGACTGGACCCTGTCAGAGCACAGCTACAGGACTGGAAAGAGAGAAGTCACTTGTGTCCTCCTCTCACTCAAGATGAAACTCCTTCTGCTGGTCACTCTGCTCACAGGTAGGACCCATGTCCACTCCGAGGGACCCCACCATCTGCCTTCTCTTCAAGTGCAAGCTCCCACTTGTCACACCTAAACTTATGGTTTCCTGTTCCTATTGGGGTCTAATAGCATCTAAGTTGGGGTTCCCTCCTCACCCTCATGTCCTCAACAGCTGGCACATTGAACCTCCAAATCTGACCTTAGAGGACTCCTTAGAAAAGTCCACTGCAGCCAGGAGTTGGTGGCATTTGCCTTTAATCCCAAGCACTTTGGAAGCAAAGGAATGCAGATCTCTGTGAGGTCAATGCCAGCCTGGTCTACAGAGTGAGTTCCAGGACAGCCAAGGTCATGCTGAGATGGGAAGTCTCAAGTCAACTGCATTCACTTCCACAAGCAAAGAAAGACCCTCTTACTGTGCCGTATTTCCCTGGCACCAATTTATCTGGCCCTAATGTGCCACAGCAGTTTGATTTTTCTTATCATTTTAAAAACTGTTTATTTTTATTTTATGTGTGTGAGTGTTTGTCCGCATCTCTGCCTGTGAATTGTGTATGAGCAGTGTTTGCAGAGGCCAGAGGAAGGGTGTGATCTTTCAGAACTGAGCTCATAGACAATTGTGAGCTGTCACGTGGGTGCTGGAACCAGAGCCTGGGTCCTACACAAGCTCAGCAAGTGCTCCTGACTGCAGAGCCATCTCTCCAGCCCTTATTGTTATTTTATATGACCTGAACGTGTGGATCAGGATTCCTCCAGCTCAACACTATTGCCCGCACTTGAAACCTTCCTGCCTACACCTTCAAACTGTTAGGATTAACTAGGTGCCTGACTGCCTTCTGAAATTTATTTTTTCATTGTGTTTTGTTTTTGTTTGTTTGTTTTTTAACAAGACAGTTTCTCTATGCCTGTCCTGAAAATAACTCTGTACATCACGCTGACTTTGACCTAGGATATCTACCTGCCTCTGCCTCCAGATTGCTGGGATTACACGGTGTGTGCTCCACTGTACCTGGCTTCTTCTTCATTTTAATGGGGACTAAGTATCCCAGTGTACACTGAATCCCATCTCATTTACCTGCTCTTCAGCTGATGAACAGTTTGTTATGTCATGTGCTGACGACACACGTGATGATCTGACCATTAGCCTTGTGTATGAGCTGTGCATGGCCATACAACAGTTTCCTTCTGATTCTCAAGTGTGAGACAATGAGCAGATGTTGGCTGCTTCTCTGGCTCAAGGTCTCAGCTAGAACTGTGATGAATCCCACTGCTGGCTGAGGCTAGGGTTTCACCTGGGCTTGAGTAAAAGTGGGGGAGTTCTCAAACTCAAGAGATGGATGGATTGCTGGGTAATTGGCTGCTGACTGCAGAGTGTTCTTAGCTCCTCAACACAGGGACCACAGGGCAGCTCACAGTGTGACCACTGTCTGCCCTTACAGTCAGAAGTGAGAAGGCAAGCAAGACAAAAGGCAATGTGTTTAGAACTCAGTCTTGGAAATTGAGCCCAGCCCAGTGCGGTGGTGTACATTTATAATACTACCAGTTGGGACACTGAGGCCAGGGGGATGCTACAGAATCTGAAGCTAGCCTGAGTTACAGGGCAACTCCTTGTCTTAGAAAGTTAGACACCTTCCTGCTTAGGCCTGGTGACTTGAGTTTGGTCTCCAAGACCTACATAGTGGAAGGAGAAAAGCAACTCCCTAAAGCTGTCCTCTGACCTCCTCTTGTGTAGTGTCATATTGATGAGTGTTCCAAATTACGTGCTTGCCACCCTGTTTGCTGGCCAGCATGCACACACACATACACACACACACACACACACACACATACACACACACACACACACACACACACACACACACCTCTATTCACCGCTCTCCTGACGCAGCAGCTGGGAAGAGTCAAGGAGAAAGCTGGTAGGCAGGCATCAGACCCCGGGAAGAGCCAAGTGTGGGTTTATTGGAGTGCGCTGTGCATTCTTGCAGCAGGCGCTACTGCACACAGCATCAGCCGTCGGGCTTTGAAGAGGTATGGAAATGCCTTTATCTGCTACTACGACGCTCATTTATTGAAGGTGGAGCATAAAACCGAGAGAGGTTTCGTTTCGAGGATCTATGATCCCTTGATGGGGTACGGAAAGCTTGGCTGCATATGTCAAGCACTCATAAGACGCGCCGCCTATGAGGTTGATGTGGTCAGGTGAGTGATCCATCTGGTGGGGACTGGATTGTCTGCACTGGGATGGGAAAAGGACACAAACACAGCCTCTCATGAGGTATGAACAGGAAGACAGGGATATTCACCAAACATTGTGTATTTTGTTTGGTTTATTTATTATTTATTTTTACTTGTTTTCCAACAGCGGTTCTCTGTGTAGCCCCAGGTGTCCTGACACTCTCTCTAGAGACCAATCTGGCTTTGAACTCAGTGATCTCCCAGCCTCTGCTTAATGAGTGCTCAGATTAAAGGCCTGCATCACCACCCAGCATGTATATTCAAGAGGTGTCTTATCATATAAAGAAATTGGTTCAGCAGGACCCTGTATCTAGTGGTCTGTGAAAGCAGAATTGTGAGATGTAAAGAATGGGCAATGCTGTCCTCAGGCTCCAGACCAGGGCACGGCCATCACAGCCACCATCAAAGTGCCAGCCTTGGCTTTAAAAAGTCATTGAATCTTGAGAATTTATAATTTCACTATATTCCTGCAGCTTTGTTGAAAAAATCACTCTTTTGAGACAGCATCTACTCTTGTATTCTTGACTTTTCTCGAACTCAGAGAACCAACTGCCACTGTCTCCCAAGTACTGGGATTAAAGACAGAAACCACAGACATATCGCTTTCAATAAATAAGTACTAATAGAAATCAGAGGTTATCAAGCCTCGGGACCATTTCTTCTGGATCATTGTGTTGTTTAAATTATCCTGACAGGTTTGAGAGAGACTGCAAGTGAGAACTGACCTCCTGTGGGTCCTCACTCACCCTCAGCTCTTCCTTCCTCTCCCCAGGTGCTGCTTGGAACTTGAAACGTGCTACAGTGAGGGGAAGAATCTTGAACACTGTAAAAATTCTGAATACAATCCCTATTACTACTTCTGCTCTGGGAGGTATTTCTTCTGCAGTGGTAGGTCACCTCCGGGAACGCTGGATTCTCCTTGGCCACGGGCATGTTTTGAAGGAGCACAGAAGTAACAAGGACAGTCAACATTTAGTGACCATTACTTTGATCTTATTTGAATTGCCACAGCCTTCTTAGGTAGATACTTAAATTTAGATGAGGCTATTGATGAGGAAGATGAGGAAGACCCGGCCACTTTTCGAAGGGTGCCAAGTTTAGAAGTAATGGCTTTGGTTCTGGAAAACAGGTCTACTTCATTCCAATGCCTTTTAAAAAAAACATTTAAAGATTTTATATATTTCTGGAGGGGGGGTTCATGCCTGTGCCAAACACAGGTGTGGAGGTTTGAGGACAACAACCAGAAATCTGTTCTCTCCTTCTACCCCGTGAGTCCTGGAGCCGGAACTTGTGTTCAGACTTGGCAGCGAGTACCTTTACTCCCTGAGCCATCTTACATGCCCAGAGTCTCTCCATTTAGCTGCTGGGTTATACGGATTCCATATTTACTAAACAACTGAAAGCTATATCATGAGCTACAAGACAAACACTGGACTAAGCGTTTATGCTGGGCAAGATTTTTCATTCCCATTTTACAGGTGAGGTTCAGAGGACTGGGAATGTAGCTCAGCTGCTAGAGTGCTTGCCTAGCGTGCACAAAGCCCCCAATCCATCCCCACAACCTATAAATTGAGCGTGGTGGTGCACACCTGCAATCCCAGCACTTGGAAGACAGAGGCAGGAGGATTGTCTTAAATTGTGTAATTTCAGAAGTGGGTGTTCATATCTGTCGTTCTCCTGGTTTTAGGATTAAATATCTGTGTTTATTTATTTTCCTGTATAGGAATGAGTTGGCATCCCCTGTCTTCTTCAGTTACTCTCTACCGCATCTTTAGAGGAGGGTCTCTCACTGAACAGAATGCTCACTTTTAGCTATATTGACTGTCAAACAGGTTTTGAGGATCCATGCTCCCCACTTCCCAATAGAGTTACAGATGCCCCAACCACACCTTGAATCTTACATGGGTGCTGGGCATCCTAGGTCAGGCCCTCGTGCTTGTATGGCAACTGCTTTATCAACTGTGCCATCTCCCCAGCCCCACAATGAATAATTTTTCAAGACAGGGTTTCTCTGTGTGATACTTCTGGCTGTCCTGGGACTCTATCTTTGAACCAGGTTGGCCTTGAATTCACTGAAATCACCCTAACTCTGCCTCCCAAGTGCTGAGTTTTTTGTTTTGTTTTGTTGTGTGTGTGTGTGTGTGTGTGTGTGTGTGTGTGTGTGTATGTGTGTGTGTAAGTGTGTTTCAACAATTGGGGCAAACCAATATATTTAGTTTGCTTTGTCTCTCAAACCTAAGTCTGCACCAATGGGAGGGCCGTCAGCTTCTTTTGCCTAGAAATGGCAGCAAGCAGGATCATAGGCTCCACTCAACTCCCTTTCTTGATTCTCTTCAGATGAAAACAATGCCTGTCAGGCCGCCATCTGCAACTGTGACCGCCAGGCTGCCATCTGCATCTTCAGGAAAATACCCACCTCGAGATCCGAACTCTTTGGATATGAGAGATTCTGTTAGACTTGTCGCCTCATTTACTGCCTACACCTCTGCTGCCTAACAGGTTGTGTTCACTACACACTGTGCCTTCCAATAAAGCAGCTATAGAAAGAGCTAAGCATTGGTGATGGTTTTCTCTGTCTACCAAACATGAATAGATCCTCAGAGAACATCATTCGCCTAGCCCTGGAAACTGAAGGTTAACAGGAAAGACATTGTCATTAGCGGAGCACCTTGAAGGGTGGGTTGCTGTGGGACAATGGTCTTGTACTGTGTAAAGATTTGCCACTTGTATTGGTTTAATAAAACGCTGCCTGGCCAGTAGCCAGGCAGGAAGTACAGGCAGGGCAACCAGAATAGGAGAATTCTGGAAAGAAGAAAAGCTCAGTCTACAGTCGTCACAGACAAATCAAGAGGAGGCAAGATGAGAATGGCTCACTAATAAAGGTACCAAGCAATGTGGCTAACACAGAAAACAATTATGGGTTAATGTAAGATGCAAGAATTCAGTAATAAGAAAGCCTGAGCTAATAGGAAAACCAATTTATAATTAATGTAGGCCTCTGTGTGTTTCTTTGGGACTGAACGGCTACAGGACAGGATAGGACAGAAACCTCTGTCAACAGTGGGTGATTAGCCCAGTCATGTCTTTTATCCCTGCCTCTGGGATAGAGAGGCAGAGGCAGAGCCAGGCAGATCTCTTGAGTTCAAGGACAACCAAGTGTCAGGACAGTGAGGATTATTACAAAAGGAAATCCTGACTGAAGCAAAAGGAGGAGGAGAGGAGGATGAAGAGGAAGAGAAAGAAGAGGAGGAGGAGGAGATGTAGCCAGCATGAGATACAAATGGGGTGGGGGTGGAGACACAGAAAAGGGGAAGGAGAGGGAGAGATGAGGCAGGAAAAGGTACAGAAGAGGAGGGGAAGGGAGGTGTTGGGAGGGAAAGAAATAGAAGCAGAGAGAAGGGAGAGGAGAGAGAAAGAAGCAGTGTCACATGGACACTAAAGGCAACATCTTGACCCTAAAATATGGGACTCAAAGAGCGCCTGCTGTGTGCTCATTCTAGGAAGTGGGATATAGGAAACCAAACTGGACTGACTGTAAATGGCCTGAAGTCAGGATTACATCCTGGTGGGCTTCCAGTCTTCACTGTGCCTAAACACACACCACAGGGTAATTGTCCCACTAAAGTACACGGCAGCCTTTTTGCAACAAAGAAAACATAGCACATCTTCTCCTGTCCATTTCTCTATCACAGGACCCCACAGGTATAGACAGGTTAATCCCTGGTTCCCTGGTCAACCGGAATTAGGAGTAAAATGTCCCATTGGCTGGTGTAGGCTACGTGGTTCTCAGTCTCTCTTTTCATTTAATGGACAGCTGCCCAGTCCTCTGCCTTTCTACCCCCACGGCCATCCCCACTCCTGTCCCACCCAAAATCCAGGCCTTGCCCTGCCCAAGACAGGTCTGGGGAGCAACAGGTGCAGCTTGAGCTGCCTGCACAGACGCAGTGACCTAAGTTCAATTCCCAGCACTACACGTCAGCCTAGGACCATCTAGAACGGGATATGATGCTCTCTTCTGGTGTGCAGATGTACATGCAGACAACGCACCCACATAGAGAAAATACATTTTAAAAAATTCTATAAAGGAAAATAAAAATGAGGCCCTGGGGAAGATCATCCAGAAATCTAGGTGTACTCGATAGGGACAGAGGTTAGCATAATCGACACCATCTCCTCTTCCATCCTATACACTAACCGTAGGGTGGGGGCATTTGCTTACTGTGGGCCAGATGCTCTGCCATGTGACTTGTTTTTCAAAACGCACTGAAGTACCTATTATTCTAATTTTTTGAGGGTCTAGTGTGCTATCCCAGGCTAGCCTCCAACCCACCATGTAGGCAAGGATGACCTCGAGCTGCTAATGCTCCTGTCCTCAGCCTGAGAGCTGGGATTGCACCACGCCCAGTTTATGTGCTAGGGATCTCACCTAGGGTGTTGTGTTGCCAGGCAACCATTCTACCAACTGTGCTGCATCCCTAGCCAATCCTTATGTATTCAAAAATATGCCTGGAAATCACACAGAATAACTTAGGTTCATCTAGTTAGTAAATAGAAAAACAGACTGAAACCCACTTTTGTCTATTTTTCAAGTTTCAATTCCATGCTCAACTCTATTTGTAGTATTTAAAAATGAGAAAGAAAACTTTCTGGGATGGGTGTGCTGGCACACACCTTTAATCGCAGCACTCAGGAGACAGAGGCAGGTGGATTTCTGTAAGTTATAGTAAGCCTGATCTTCAGAGTGAGTTCCAGGGCTTTAGGAAATACCAAGTTCTTCTTGGGAGAGATTTGTTTGTTTATGTATTTATTATTAGAATTCCACCTGAGTACAGAATACAAAGAAAACATGTATGTCTGCAGGTGAGCCCTTGTCTCAAAGAAAAAAGGGGAGTGAGTAGGAAGGCTAGAGACATGGCTTAACAGGTCTATAGAGCCCTAGCTACCTGTTCAGGGTTCAGTTCCCAGCACTTTCATGAACCTGCTCAGGATGAACTGTGGCTCCAGCTCCAAGGATTCCAGTGATTCTTTGAGCAGCTGCACATACACACTCAAGCATACACATGAACAAATTGAAAATAATAAAATAAGTCTTTAAGAAAAAAATCCTGGAATGAAATCTACAACCCTGTGTGTCTTCTGCATGAATGACTGGGAAGCCCCACAGCTCTACACAGCCCAAGACCACGAATTACCCTGTGAACTGAAACTGCTCCCGAGGTCGGGACAGGGGAGCATGAGCTGCCTGTCCCCAGCTCAGACATGGGGCTTTCCAAGGTAGAGCATGAGTCTTCATGTGCCTCACGTTTCAGGGCACACTGATTCTTTCCACCGAGTGCAGTGATCACACATACCAGCTGAAGAACCCACAGGGAATGAACTGTTTTCTCTTTACACACCAGGTTCAAGGCAGGCGTCCCCTTCTGAGAGCAAGCATCAAGTAGAAATCCTTAGGGCACACTAGCATAAACCCCTACTTTCTCCTCTATACAAATTCACAGTTTACAAACTTGGTATGCTATTTAAAATAATTTATTGTTTGGTTAATAAAAATTTCATTATGCTGTTGCTCATGCTGTTAAAATATCAAGGTGCTTCAGTCAGACACAACTATGTGGAATTAGAAGTCAATTATAGAGGCCCTTCTGGTTATTCCCTGAATTAGTGAGGTCTCAATGGCGGCCCCCACAGACCACGCTGGCTCATGGACTTCCAGGAGTTCCTTGTTCCCGGTGGGATGAAGAGGAAGGTGGCACAGCTGTGCCGTCAAGAACAGCTGCTTCTTGAAAAAGTCCTTCTTAGGAGGGCAGCTCTCATCTGCACGAGGACTCTGACAGCTGTCTGTAAACAGGGGTGCGCTCTGGTGGACCGGCCTGCAGACATTGCCCTGTGCCCTCTACAGAACGCAGTCAGCTTCCATTAGTTTGAAGGCAAAGGAAGAAACTTTAGGGATCTGAAAAGAAATTAAACAAGATAATGTTAATGGAGAGGATGAAATGGTTGCAAACATCAGCCCACCGCCCCCCCAAAAAAAAAACAAGGATGGAACAAGGCAGAGGCAGGTGGATCACAGGCAGCCTGGTCTACACAGAAAGACTGAAAACCACCAGGCAGTGGCACACGCCTTTTTTTCCAGCACTCGGGAGGCAGAGGCAGGCTGATCTCTGTGAGTACGAGGCCAGTCTGATCTCTGTGAGTTCGAGGCCAGCCTGGTCTACAAGAGCTAGTTCCAGGACAGGCTCCATAGCTACAGAAAAACCCTGCCTTGAAAAACTAAAAAAATAAAAAATAAAAAAATAAAAAAAGACTCTCAAAACCAACCAAAAAACAAACCCAAGGCCGGTAAGATGGCTCTGTGGGTAAAGTGGGTAAAGGTGTTTTCTATCAGCCCAGAGGACATGAGCTCAATTCCCAGAACCCACAGGGTAGAAGGCAAGGACTGACTCCTATACATTGTACCCTGACCTGGACACGTGTGACATGTTACCTGTGCATCCATGCACATACACACACATACAAAATAAAACTGTAAAAATGTCCAAGTTTTACAAACAGTGGTGACACACACCTTTAATCCCAGCCCTCCAGATGCAGAAGGAAGTGAATGTCTGTGAGTTCAAGGCCAGCCTAGTCTACAGTGCTAATTCCTGGAAAGACAAGGCTACACAAAGAAACTCTTCTTTCAGAAAAAAAAAAAGAAGCAATAAAGTACAGGAATGAGTCTTAATATATTATGGTAAGGAGAAAAAACTATATGCTGGCAGGATGTGGAAGTGCATACCTAAAATGCTAATACAAAGATGGCTGAGGCAGAAGACTTCAAGTTTGAAGCGATTCTGGGCTACATATCAAGTCCCTGTCTCAAAAAAATTAAAAATCTACACAGTCTTTGAAAAGTCCATGAACGCATGAATGTATGTACAGATAGAAGGATGGACACACTGACAGATGTATGTACAGATGGAAGGATGGACACACTGACAGATGTATGTATAGATGAGGGATGGACACGCTGACAGATGTACGTATAGATGAGGGATGGACACACTGACAGATGTACGTATAGATGAGGGATGGACACACTGACAGATGTATGTATAGATGAGG